AAAATCATAAAAATATAAGTAAAAATACCTTATGAATAAAAAAACCAACAAAAAAATTTTTTTTCTACTATTTTGTTTTCATAGCGCACATTTATTTAAATGTTTTTATGTTTGTGTACAATTATTGTGTGTGTGTGTGTGTGTATTTTGTTTAGTAAATATGTTAAAAATTTGTTAGTTGAAGGTAAAATTTATAACTTTTATGCATACAAATATTTACAAAATAGTATTAATTACATATGATTTATTTTTTTTATAAATTCTTATAAACTTGAATAGCGAAATAGCGTTGCCAAGTGCTTGCGAGATTAATAAGGATTATTCTGCATATTTTATGCATAATTTTAATTGTGAAAATCATAATTTTTTCAATTTTTTTTTTTTTGGCGTTGCTTTGCTTGAAACGGCGTACATACATATGTATATATAAACTAATAATGTACAATAAATTATATGTTTGGTGAAATTTCATTTCCATAAACAAAAAGTATAAACAAATCAAGTGTAAGTATTCAACGACTAAGCTAACCTAAAGCGATTTCAATTATTTTAAATTCAAAATTTAACTTACATAAACAAAGAACAGTGTATATAATAGCATAAACGAGTATATGTTGTATGTATGTATGCGTCACTTGTTATTATTTATGTTTAAATAGCGCAGAAGTGTGGAAATATTTGATATTTAGCACTTGAGTCGCCACTACACTTCGGCTGAGAGCGTGTGAGAGTGTTGGAAATGAGAATTTCCATTAAAATTATACATAATTTAACATAATTAACTGCATTAAAAAACTATTATATAATACATACTTATATAATACATATGAACAGCCGCGTTTAATGCATACAAATGTATTTTGTCACTTAATTTTAAAAATAATTAATTACTTATAATTACAAATAAGTGTGTGGTAATAAAATTACATTTCTCATGTTGTTGTTGCTGTCTTAAGCTATAATATTGTGTTGCTTGACAAACTTAGAAGTAAAATTAAACATAAAGTGTATGAAAACATCGCCAGCACAAAATTTTAGACCTGCTGGGTCTCGCACACTTGCGCTTCGTTATGATGATTTTTTGGGTTTTTGTTGTAAAAATATGTTTTTTTTTGAGTCCGTTCTTTATTATTTTCTTGTCTACTGTTATACTTTGTGCTTATCTACGGTTTTTTATATTGTTTTAAATTTTGCTGCATTTAAAATTTTGATTCTCAAATTTATTGTTTGCAAAGAGTTGTTTTGAAAAGAAAAGCTGCATATGTCTCTATATACATATGCATATTTCATAAGAGAAGCTACAAAAGTTACAGTGATTCAAAAAGTAAAAAAATTTTTTTTTTTTTTTGAAGATTTAACGAAAAGAAGTGAAATAATTGCTTTACTTTTTTATTTCGCCATATTTTTATTTCTTTATTTTTTATTTTCAAAAAATATTTTTATGCGAAAATAAAGGTTATAATTTTAAATTATTGTAAATTGTTAGAAAAATAAAATATACAACAAAAACATCGCGAAAAAAAAGTAAAGAAAATATTTCAACCTTTTTTGCCTTTTTTTGTAATATTATAAAAAATTAAAATTTAAAAGTGAATTATTGCGCAGTTTTTAAATTTATTTTTTTGGAAAAAATTGCGGAATAAAAGAATAACTATCAAAGAAACGAAAGTAAAAAACAATTATATTGAAAATGTAATTAGAAAATGCAAAAAAATGTGATTTCAATATTTCACAATTTTTGAAAAATTTACTCTTGTTGGAAAAAAGATAAGAAAAAAAACTATGTATATTGAAAAAGTAATTAGAAAATGCACAAAAAATTAGATTTTAATACATTTAAATTTAAAAACAAAAATAAAAATTTACATTTTTTTTAAATTTGGAAATTACAAAAATATTATTGTTTTTTTTTAATATATTTTCATTTAGAATTTCACATTTTCAAATTAACACACAAATAATTTTTTCAATAAATGTTTAAAACAGTTTTTTAAATAATTATTTTTTTATGTTAAACTTTTTCCAAAGTGGAAAGAAGCAAACTAAACAGTTCTATATTAAAAAAGTAAATAGAAAAAAATATGATTTTAATAGGTTGAAATTTGGAAAATGTTGATTGTTGTTAATTAAA